GTTTTATTTTTTGTCTTTTCATTTCCCACCATCCTCAAACCTGCCAACTGTAATGGACTTAACTTAAATATAACAATTTTAAAATCTAAATTCTGAAATTTTTTGAAAAAAAAATTAGAAAAAAAAAGAGTTAGTTTTTGTGAGCTTTTAAATATATTGAATTTAAAATTGACACTTTGCATTTTATAGTTTTATGGCAATAAATTTTTATATAAGGTTTTATTGGTGATAAGTCAATTTCTTTTAAAGCGTCTTCAACAATTCATTAAATTTTTTATGAAATTTAATAAAAAATTTGATCTGATATGATATTTTTCAACGATTTTCATCAATTTTTTTTACAAAATTCCTAATTCATCCTAAAATTCGGTTATCTAAGAGGTGGTCTGGCCGGTCGTCCACCAATGACCACCTTCAAAATTTGATGAAAAGATAAAAACTCCCTTCATTTGTTGAAAATTTGGTTCTCCCTCTATTTGATATCAACTTGATGAAAGGGTTCGAACTGACATTTAAGGCGTTTTTCGTCAAAATTGAATTTGATGAAAAATCTGATGAAACGTTGGAGATGATAGTTTTATGGCAATAAATTTTTATATAAGGTTTTATTGGTGATAAGTCAATTTCTTTTAAAGCGTCTTCAACAATTCATTAAATTTTTTATGAAATTTAATAAAAAATTTGATCTGATATGATATTTTTCAACGATTTTCATCAATTTTTTTTACAAAATTCCTAATTCATCCTAAAATTCGGTTATCTAAGAGGTGGTCTGGCCGGTCGTCCACCAATGACCACCTTCAAAATTTGATGAAAAGATAAAAACTCCCTTCATTTGATGAAAATTTGGTTCTCTCTCTATTTGATATCAACTTGATGAAAGGGTTCGAACTGACATTTAAGGCGTTTTTCGTCAAAATTGAATTTGATGAAAAATCTGATGCAACATTGGAGATGGCTTTAGGGATATGAGATTAGGTCAAATAATGGATCTTTTTTGGTGACAATGACCTATTTACAAAAATATCATGTTGTCAAAAAATATATATTGATATATGTGGCAAAAAAAAAAAAAAACATATATATTTATTGATTTAATAACATTGGTGTGGAATGTGAAATTATCTCCACAGGTTAAGTGAGATGATGCGTCCAATTTTTTGCACTCTGCGTAGAGAAACCAAACGTCAGTAATCACTCTTGACCAGGGTTGACTGGGAGGACTCTTCGATGATCAAGTCAGCACAATGACCGACCAAAGTGTATAATATACAAAGAAAATAGTTCTAGTATTTGATTGAGTTGTGGTTGAGTTAGATAAAACCCACTTACTTGTCGAGCATCTCGTCTGTAGGATTAAACTTGATTGGACGATTCTGCTTCTCATTAGGCCCAACCTACATACTAGTCTTATTTGTTCTATGGTTCCCACCATCGGATGAAGGTTTATCTAACGCCTATCCTTTAATTGATTTGGTCTTCTAAAGGCAATTTTTTTATAATTGCTTTGTTCTCCCCACGCGCCTTAATCTGATGACAAGTTGTTGCTAGCTATCCTTTATGAGTTTCAAGGGATGCATTTAGACTTATCACTTTTGACTTGGGCTGTAATGACTAGATTTGGCTCTAGGCTCACATTTTTTGGGACACTTACCATTAAGTCCTATATATAAAGTTCAAAATCCATCTGGTTCCAAAACAAAACATTTGCACCAATTAGTCGTACATATTTTTAATTGTTATCAAAAAAATTTCCTTTTTTTCATAACTTTAAAAATGCTGCTATATCCCACCATTACTGAACTTCCGTCAAATGGTCATTGAAGACTCGCTGGAATATTCAACATCATCGGAAAGTCGCCAGAATATAGCCGAAAGTTTGCCAGAGTGTTCTAAACGTCACTAAAAAAAGTCAGAATATCTAGAATAAGGTCACAAAAAAAAAAGAATAAATGGAGAAATTATAGTGAAAAAACGTAGTAAAATATGCTAAATATTGATCAACTGACCAAAAAAAAAAAAAATATTGATAAAAAAAAAAAAAAAAAACAACAACAACAACAACCAACAACAACAATGGGAAAAAAGTATATATTATTTTTCAATTTTTGTAGAGTTTAAACAAATAATCTCCAATATTGATCAAACTGAAAAGTAAGCTTTGAAATTGTAAAATGTTACAGTTTCAAAGTATGATTCTATCAAGCATTTATACTTATTAATCAAACTGAAAAACATGTTATGAAACAACAAAATTTTACAAATCTAAAGAATCTTCTGAAACTGTAAAATTTTATAGTTATAAAGAATGATTCAAATAGCACAAAAAAAAAAAAACTGAAACTGTGAAATTTTATAGTTTTCATTGCCTGTGACTAAAACTAAAAAACAACTTATTCAGAATTTAAAAATTTCCTCCATTAAAACAAGAAAATAGAAATGTGTAGCAAAGAAAAGGTTGAAAAATTGAGAAATCAAATGAGAGAAACAGATATAGAGAGAAAATTATACTCTAACAACTATTTTTGATTTAGATCTAGTCGAATCTCATGTAGATTTACTCAGATTTAATATAGATCTGAGTAAATCTACATCAGATCTTCTTCGTTAAAAACTCGTCTTTTTCGCTATTGGTAAGGGTGAAGTAAGAAGGTGATGGTCGGTAGTGCTAGTGAACCCCAAGCAATAATTATTGTCGGTTATCAGTGACTACATGTTAGAAAGAAAAAGAGGAAAAGTAGTAGTTACTGGTTACCATAAATCAAAAAGAGAAAGAGATAGAGAAAAACAAATGCATAGAAAAAAATAGAGAAAAAAAATATAGAATGAACTTTTGAGAGTATTCAAAAGATTCTAAAACTAAATAGATTTATCTTCTTTTAAATAGGACTTCTACAGAACTTGCCCCATATTTTTTCTCTCCTCAATTGCTATAATATTGTTTGATAAAAAAAATTTATAATATAATATTTATTAATATATATATATATATATATACAGGCATACTGTTGTCATAGGCCCCCAGGCATGAGTGGATGGTGTCTAACACAAAGTTAAAAAATATGTATAAAAATATCAAAATATCAAAATAGAAAATTAAAAGAAAAATGATAATTTAGTCATCAACCAAATAGAGTTATTAGATTTATTTATTTTTATTTTATTTATGATAATGGAGTTAATTAGGCATATTTAATATCTTAGGACACTTGATAACTAAACTTTAAAATAAAACATCTCATTTCATTATTTTCTTTACATTTTTTGTGGAGTTGGGGTGCCTGCTGTGCGGTCATATGGACTTATTTTGGAGTTTATTTTAATAATTCGAATCGCTCACATTTTAGAGTACATCAAATAAAATATACTTATAAAAAAATAAGTTAATCGGATATCGTTAGCCCTTTCATCCACTCACATTTGTGTCTTTCATTCACTCTCATTTGTATTCATTTTAATATTTTAAATCACAATGCCATTTATTTTTCAAGATACAAATGTGAATAGATGAAATGGTTAACGATATCCGATTAACTCAAATTTTTGGTAGGTATGCTCTACTCAATATACTTTAAAATATGAACGATTCAGATGATCAAAACGGACTCCAAAATGAGCCCATAAGGCTGCACATTAGTGTTTACTGTACATCCAGCACAACAGGCACTCCAACTCATTTTTTTATATGTCTTCTTGTAAAAAGCCAAATAACTAATTAAAATAATCTATCCCTAAACGGGACCTAATTAATATCAACTCTAGTGAAACAAGGCAACCATTTATATATTAAAAGTCTTTATAAATCCAATCCAATTAATATCACATCTATCTAAAAGAATCAATCATTTATAAATGAATAAAATTATATGAATTAATACCTGATATGGCATAATTTTGAAGGTTTTAAATATTTATAATTTATATAATATGTGGGATCAATAATAATATCATAATACATATTTGTACATTAATTAATATACTAATTGATGTATGTAGTATCACAATTTATAAATTGAAAACTTTTACGAATCCAAACCAATTAATATTTAGCTTATTTGGTTATAGTTTTCAGAAAATAATTTTCAAAAAATTCTACTCTTTTATTTTTTGTATTTTAATGTTTCCAATGAATTTTTAAATATTTTAAGCAATTTTTTTTTTAATTTTTAAACACACCTTATCTAAATACACTTAAAAAAATAATATTTGTGAAAAAAATCTTAAAAAAATACACTAAATACCAAAAAATATAAAAAATATATAAAAATTCAGTACATTTTTCATATTTTTGTGTATTTATTAATTTTTTAAAATATTTTTTCACAAATATTTTACTATTTAGATATATCTAAATAAAGTATATCTAAAAAAATATAAAAATTATTTAAAATTTAAAAAATATCTACTAAAAAATTAAATGAGAAACTCAATTTTAAAAAAACTGATGAATTAAAAAAACTGAAACAAAAAACACCAGAATTCATTACACAAACAAACTCAAATTTATTTTTTATCTAGAATCTATTACTCCTGTAACAAACGGGATTGGGGTCACTGTTGTGCCTTAATTTGAGGTATATTATGAGTTTATTTTTATGATCTGAACCGTTGTTTTGTAAGATTTGTTGAACACTTCATACCTGCCATAAATTATTTTAATCAGATATCAATAAGTATATGATCAAATTGCATATTTTTTATACTTTTTCTCAAAAGAAAAATTTATTGTTTATTTTTTTGATTGCGGATCATATAGTTATTGATATCTGATTAATATAATTTTTGAAAATTATAAAGTACTCAACAAATCCTATAAACTGATCAGTTCAAATCATAAAAATAAATTCATAATATATCTCAAATTGAGGCACAACAGTCACTACTAGTGACCCGCATTCCATAACAAACTGGCCTTAAATAAAAACCATATTTTATAGAGCATTTGGATTCCGCGGAAACGCCTATAAAAGGCCCACATCCTCTTCTCGTTGTGCATTGTAGAATTGAAGAAAGCAAAGCAAAGCAAGAGCGAGACAGAGAGAGTGAGGGAGAGAAAAATGGTTGGTTGGGCTATAGCGGTGCACGGAGGCCCTGGTGTGGACCCAAACCTCCCACTGGAACGCCAAGAACAAGCCAAACTCCTCCTCACTCGGTGCCTCAACGTCGGCATTTCTGCTCTTCGTTCCTCCCTCCCCGCCATCGACGTCGTCGAACTCGTCGTACGCCTCTCTCTCTCTCTCTCTCTCTCCCAAAAAAATAGAAGAAGATGCTAGTTACTTGGAACATAAAAAGGAACTCGAAAAATAGAATTATTTCCCATTCCTTTCTTTTTCAAACAAACAAAAAAAAAAAAAAAACACAGACATGTGATTAGATTTGGTAATATTAATGACAAATCCGATTGCATTTGCTTCTTTGTCTTGTTTTTCATAACAGACCGATTTGTTTATTATTATTATTATTTTTCCTGTAAGAACATGTAATTGTTCTATTACAGTGACTTATAATTAATTCATGGGGTATAAAACTCAGGTTAGAGAATTGGAATCGGATCCTCTGTTCAATTCAGGGCGTGGATCTGCCTTGACGGAGAAAGGAACGGTGGAGATGGAGGCCAGCATCATGGATGGGCATGGAAGACGGTGCGGCGCCGTTTCAGGAGTGACCACCGTGAAGAGCCCAGTCTCCCTCGCCCGCCTCGTCATGGAAAAGTCTCCCCACTCTTACCTCGCTTTCTCCGGCGCCGAAGAGTTCGCCCGCCGACAGGTGATCTATATTTAATGGCACGTGCCCGTGCGCAATTTGTTTTACAATATATATATATATTATTTTATAGTTATTACGGGAGGAAAGTGTTTGACATGATGGGGGGTTTTTATAGGGTGTGGAGATGGTGGACAACGAATACTTTATCACGGAGGAAAACGTTGGCATGTTGCAGTTGGCCAAGGAAGCGAACACTATATTGGTACGCATACCTGTCATATCATCATCTTTTATGATCATCATCAGTCAATACATAACTTCTTAATTTTTACAATCCCAAATGATATATTTGTGTGTGTGTATATATATATATATGTGCACTTTTATTATAGAAAGAGCAATTTTTATATTAAAATTTAAAAGTAATGCTACGATAAGGAGATGGGTACGAGGATCCTCTCTTTGCAAGTTTCTACTTACGCCCGTCTTTGCAGGGCCTTCGGGCCTACTTTTAGGCCTAATTTTGATAATTCGAACTGTTCATATTTTATGATTTATTCATTATATTATACCTGTAAAAAATCAAGTTGATCGAATATCAAAAAGCATATGTTCAGAAAACTGTTTATTAAATTCTTTAAAAAAATAGTTTTTAGTTCAATTTTTCAAACACATACTTTCTGATATCCGATCAATTTGATTTTTTACAGGTATAATATACTGAATAAATCATAAAATATGAACGATTCGGATTATCAAAATTGAGCCTAAAAGTAGGCCCGAAGGCCCTACAAGAACGGGCGCAAGTAGGAGCCTGAGAGGCTCTTGACTCGCGGAGATGGTGGACAACGAATACTTTATCACGGAGGAAAACGTTGGCATGTTGGAGTTGGCCAAGGAAGCGAACACCATATTGGTACGCATACTTAATCATATCATTATCATTAATGATCATCATCAATCAATACATAACTTCTTAATTTTTACAATCGCAAATGATATATTTGTGTGTATATATATATAGATATACACGTAATACAAAATTAATTAATATTATAATATATATGTTATTTAAATAATAAGAGTATTATTAATAAAGTCTAAAGTTTTGGATTCAAATTTTGTTGATGCTTTTAAATAATATTTTTTGTTTTAAGGTAAAAAAATTTGTTACATAACAGAAGGAGAAATCACCATACAATTGAACATTAAGTCATGTGCTCACATATATAATAGTATAGATATACACTTTTATTGTAGAAAGAGTAATTTTTATATTAAAATTTAAAAGTAATGCTACGATAGTTAATTATTTTTAATATTCTATTTTTTATTGTGTTGACGACATAAACATCATCTAACCAAACCAAACCAAGCCTTAAGTCTCATCAAATGGGGTCGGCTACATGAATCCTTCTTCTTCACGCGGCCCTATCAAAGGCCATTTCATTAGTCAAATTAAGTAGATTCATATCTCTATTTAAAACACTAGGCCTACCTCGTCCTCTAACACTTCCATCTATCGTTACAGCATCGCATCTCTTCGCTACTGCCTCTGTTGGTCTCCGTTGAATATGACCAAACCATCTCAAACGATTCTCTCTCAACTTATCTTCTATCGGTGCTACTCCTACCCATTTCCGAATACACTCATTCATAATTCTGTCTTATCTAGTCTTGCCACACATCCACTTTAGCATCCTTATCTCAGCCATACTCATCTTATCTACATATTGTTTCTTGGTTGCCCAACACTCCATCCCATACAACATCGCTGGTCAAATAGCTGTTCTATAGAACTTACCTTTTAGTCTAGTGGGTTTCGTTTATCGCACAGTACCCCATACGCTATTCTCCACTTACACCATCCTGTCTTTAGTGGGTATTCGTTTATCGCACAATACCCCAGACGCACTTCTCCACTTACACCATCCCGCCTTAATCCTATGGGCCACATCTGCATCAATCTCTCCCGCTGTTGTGATAATCGACCCTAAATAACGAAAATGTTCACTCTTAGGCAGTTCTTGGTTCTCAATCTTCACTTCTCCTCTACTTTCATTGTTACTGTTACTAAATTTACACTCCATGTACTCCCAACCGTAGGATTTGACAAGTGCAGCGCAATAGTAGAAAACCTGCTGCAGATGAACGGCCTCCCAATCAGCGTGTACGCGCCGGAGACAGTGGGATGCGTGGTGGTGGACGGGGAAGGGCGGTGTGCGGCAGCGACTTCCACCAGCGGGCTGATGAACAAGATGAGCGGTCGCATCGGCGATTCCCCGCTTATAGGAGCAGGGACTTACGCGTGTGAAGTGTGTGGCGTGTCGTGCACGGGCGAGGGGGAGGCCATCATACGCGGGACACTGGCACGTGACGTGGCGGCGGTGATGGAGTACAAGGGTTTGGGCCTCCAGGAGGCGGTGGACTACGTGGTGAGGGAGAGGCTGGACCAAGGCAAGGCTGGTCTGATTGCTGTGTCCAGGAATAGTGAGGTGGCTTATGGGTTCAACTGTATTGGAATGTTCAGGGGCTGTGCCACTCAAGATGGGTTCATGGAAGTTGGTATTTGGGAGTAGACGTGTTTAGTGCGTTTAGATTTTGGATTTGAATAGATATTTATTAAAGGACAAGAATAAAGAATAAAAAAGTGACAACTATTTAGAGTCTTCCTTCAAATATCTATTTAAATTAATGATCCATACACAATATGTTACTTGGAGTTGTTTGTTTATTGTAACCTTTGGTGGCAGTAATGAATCCACACTTCAGTAATAGTAATTTGGTAATATATACATACTTAGGCCAAGTTTGGCATGAATTTAAAAAGTCAAAAAGTCAAAAAGTTACTTAAAAAGTTAAAAAGTTATCATTATTCATCAATAATCAAAAAGTACGGCGGCATAACTCCTAATTCTAATTTTCCCCTATACACTAATTTATACAATTTTTTAATACATATTTTTTCATAAAAAGTCCAAAAGTTAATCCAAACAACCATATTTTTTTTCTTAACTTTTTAGTCCAAAAAGTTAAAAAGTGCACTTATTTAGGACATTCCAAACAACCCCTATTTAGAGAAATTATTAGATTTTATAGTTTTATTGATTGTATTTAAATTCATTTCTTTTGGGTCAAGGTTGTTTGCCGGATAAATGGACGAAATTATACCTAACTTTTTTACGAGTAATTTTATTAGGGCGAATTATACTAATACTTTTTAGGAAAATTTACCCATAAATCTTATTTTCTGAAAAGTTGAACCATTTAGTCCTAAAAGTTTTCTTATGCACCATTTAGTCCCATTTTATTTTGATAATGCTGTTTGTTTAATAATCATCATCAGCACCAACATTAGTCATCAAACAAGTTTACATTTTTACCCATAACAACCTCATCAACATCAACCTAAACCTAAACATCAACATAACATCAAATACATCGTCAGCATCATCAAAAACATAATCAACGTCTCCCTCGCGCTTTGTATACAAACCAAAGCCCGCCGTTGCTTTCTTTCGTCTCCCTCAAACCTCCATAGTTGCAACTCCTTTGCAGCCATCTCTCTCTCTCTCTCTACATCTATACATACATATATCTATATAGCTATGGAGGCTCGTGTTTTGCTCCGCCGCAACAGCCTCGTCTCGGCCCCAAATTCACAAACATCAGATTTTTTTTTATTCAGATTTATGTATATGAGGCTCTCTCTCTCTCTCTACATCTATACATACATATATCTATCTAGCTATGGAGGCTCTGTGTTTTGCTCCGCCGCAACAGCCTCGTCTCGGTCCCAAATTCACAAACATCAGATTTTTTTTATTCAGATTTATATATCTGAGGCTCTGTGTTTTGATTCCAACATCATATTTTTTTTGTCCACCGCCGAGTCGATGAGTTTGATCGAGTTTTTGTCCACCACCGAGTTGATCGAGTTTGATTCCAACATCAAATTTTTTTTGTCCAACATCAAATTGCCTCCGTCAAGTTCGATTAATGTTCATGAATAGTTCGATTAATTTCCAACATCAGATTTGTAGATCGAGTTTGATGATGTTGTTGATGTTGTGATGTTGATGATGTTGATGATCGAGTTTGATGTTGTGATGTTTGATCGAGTTTGATGAAGTTGTGATGTTGATGATGTTGTTGTGTTGATGATCGAGTTTGATGTTGTGATGTTGGTGATCGAGTTTGTTGTTGTGATGTTGATCGAGTTTGATTCCAACATCAGATTTGTAGATCGAGTTTGACGAAGTTGTTGATGTTGTGATGTTGATCGAGTTCTGAATGTTTCTTGATGTTTGTGGGTGTTTCAAACATCAGATTCATTTTTAAAAAAATTCACCACCTTGATTTTGTCTTCCCCTCACAAAGTTTGATGATGTTGAAGATGGCTGTGGGTGGATTTGGTGTGGGTTCGAAGGTTGAACGCTGGGTTGCGAATAGAAGAGGGCAACAATTGGATTTGGAAGAAGCCATTGAAGGCAGTGGGTTGGAGATGGTAGATGTTTGAAGTTCCATGGTTATGGTGGGATTGGGAAGAGTAGTGATCTCAGATGTTGACGATGAAGAAGGGGTGGTTAGATGTTGCGATGTTTGATGTTGTTTTGATGATGATGATGTTGTTTTGATGTTGATGATGTTTGATGTATATGCCCTCTATGGTCAATTTCCCTATAATGAGACCTTTCAGTCTATAAGAAAATTTTTAGGACTAAACAGTATATAAGTTGTTAATTTGGGATTTATTGATGCATCACCTTAGTTTTTATACTTTGGTATTTGTCACTTTGATTCTTAATTTTTCAATTATGATACATTTGATCAAAATTTTAAATTTTGTTCCAAATAAAGACAATTGAAGATACAATTGCTCAATTTCAAGGACAAAGTCGTCAATTTGATAAAATATAAGCTAATTTGACAAAAATAAATATTTTTAAAATTTAAAAAATTATTTTTACTCACCAAAAATAAAATTATATAAAATTGATAAATTTTTTACACATTTATTTATTTATTTTTTACTAAATTAATTTTATTATGTGTTTTGATGATGATCATGTAATGGGCGGTTGTTTTTATTTTCATTAAATTAGTTTTTATTTTTTCAAAAGTCAAATATGGCGACAAGTTTGATATTATTATTAAACCAATCCATTAAATAAAAACATCTAAAACAAAAAATATTTCATAGTATCGATTACACATTAAAGCCTAACAATCACCTATTACATGATCATCATCCAAACACATACCAAGACTTAATTTGGTAAAATAAATAAATGTGCATAAAAATTATCAATTTTACATAATTTTATCTTTGGTGGGTAGAAATAATTTTAAAATTTTAAAAATATTTTTTTGACATTTATTTTTGTCAAGTTGGTTTATATTTTATCAAATTAATGACTTTACTCTTGAAATTGAGCAATGGTATCTTCAGTTGTCCTTATTTGGAACAAGAATTAAAATTCAAGTTTAAATGTGTTACAATTGAAAATTTAGGAACCAAACTGACATGAGCCCTAAACTATAGGCACTGCTAGTGTAATTCGCCTATCTTATTTAGGGATGTAAGAAAAACTGAAAAAAATGACAAAATCAATTGAACCGGATTGAACCGGTCATATTTGGTCTTTTTTTTAATACGATTCAGCCTGTTCAGTTTTTTGTCAAGTTGGTTTATATTTTATCAAATTAATGACTTTACCCTTGAAATTGAGAAATGGTATATTCAGTTGTCCTTATTTGGAACAAGAATTAAAATTCAAGTTTAAATATGTTACAATTGAAAATTTAGGAACCAAACTGACATGAGCCCTAAACTATAGGCACTGTTAGTGTAATTCGCCCATCTTATTTAGGGATGTAAGAAAAACTGAAAAAATTGACAAAATCAATTGAACCGGATTGAACCGGTCATATTTGGTCTTTTTTTTAATACGATTCAGCCTGTTCGGTTTTGGAAATTAATTTTTTTGAGTTTTTCGGTTCGGTACCGGTTTTGATATACTATACACCAATTTGCACCGAAACCGACCGAATATATGTACATATAATATATATTAAATATATAATGAATAATATTGCCAATTTGGTTCTTAAATTATATTTTGTTTCTAATTCTAATTCATAAAAGCTTCAATTTTTTTGTTTGTATTTTTGTGAATGGTTAGATTAGGTATGGTTAGAATGGTGTACCAATGGCTAATTTAATATTTTTATATAAATTATTTACTATACTACAAATTTAAGAAATGACTCAATTTTGAAAGTACTTAAACCGATTAAATAGTATTGAGCCGAACCGTTTGAATCGGTGCGGTTTGATGTGGTTTGATAAAAAATTTGGTCTTTATTAATTTTCAATATAATAAAACTGACATTATCGATTTGGTGTAAAATTTCATGCAAACACTGACCGTCCCGAACTGATTACATCAATAATCTTATTAATACAAAATTTCTGATGTGTTTCAAATTGTTACTAGGAAGAGTGTTTTTAACATTGTTGTATTGTATAGCCAAAGTTGCGGAAGAAGTTGAGAGAATGGATTTTACCCCCTCCCATATGCTAAAGATTATTCATTCTCTCAACTTAATGCAATATTCTTGATTATGATTGTGAAAGAACTGACTTAAAGATTAAATGTAATAGGAATCTAATCAATTTGCATCCATTGTTTTTACTTCTTAAGTAAATTTATACAATAAATAAAATATATAGCTATTAGACTTGATCATATTAGTCACAGTATTTTGAGCACTGAAAAAAGAATAGAATCTGCAACATAGAAAAGGATACATGTTATCTAATACTCTACTGGTCTAGGTACAATAATTTGTACGAGTTAAAGAACAAATTCTGGACATTTGTGCCAACTTGATATTCATATTCCCATTCACAATAACCATATTCACACACAAATCCTTTTCCTACCATATCAACTTAGTTCACTAAAATAGGATGGCCCTCTATAGAGTGTCATGCGTCTCTGCAATTACATTAGGCAAAGGCAAATGTCTGAAGTTGAGTTCTGTTTACTAGTTAAGAATACCCCTAGTCTCCACTAAACAAGACAAAAGAAGAGTGGAATAGTGGAGGAAAACAAAGAAAATAAGGAAAACTTCAGATAATCTCTTTACTTAATTTTCACTCATCTAGTGTTCTTGTCACCGTTAGAAGCGGGCATTGTTTGCAGACTAAATTTTGAGCCAAGTAAGGGTGGGCGTGGGTCGGTTGTGGCCACAGAACCTCCAATCCGCCATCTGTCCGCCAGATTGGCGGATTGGAGAAAATGAATCCGCATTTGTCCGCCAATCCGACGGATGTGGATTGAGCGGATTGGCGGTTTGGCGGATGGATGCGAATCGGTTTGGCGGTTTGAAATTTTATAAATTTTCAATATAGTTCAACTTGTGCACTTCCTCAAAAAAAATCCCTATAGTTTGGGGCTCGTGTCACATTAGTTCCTGACTTTTGTGCCTGTTTGGTAACGTTTACGTTTTCAGTTTATATTTGAAACTTTAGATTATCACAATCACTGCATGCCTCATCCACATATTACAATCACAGCATGTCTCATCCACATAAAGTATTACAATCTGTGGTTCTTAAAATATAAAAACAATTCAAACCACAAAAACTATGAACAGAGCAATAGTAGAGATTGTATGTCTCTGTATTGTTACATTTATATATGTTTTTGAAAACAAAAACCAACCAGCATATACCATATTATCTATTTATTACTTTTAGAGTTAGATTTAAAAACCAAAAAAAATAAATAAATAATACGTTTAGTTTTTTCAATTCAAAAAATATATTCAAGTTGAAATTTTTTTTTCAACAGAATATTTGAACTCTTTTTCAATTAAAAACACAAACAAAGTATTTAAACAAATTGAAAACACAAAGTCTTATAAATTACTAAGGGTGCTCGCGGTTTGGCGGTTCGGTTGGGGCCAAAGGAATCTCAAATCTGCCATCCGTCCGCCAAATTGGCGGATTGGAGAAAATCAATCCACAACCGTCCGCTTGTCATCACGCATCCGTCCAAAATGCGACGGATCGGTTCGGTTCGGTCGGTTTTAGCGGACCGGTATAGCCGCTGCTCACCCCTAGAGCCAAGATACTGAGATTCTCATTATCTGTGCGATGGATCGATCATCTCCATATTCTGTTTCTTGGATGGGTCTTGGATCATGCCCTGATGACTTGTAATCCAGTCTCTCCATCTTTGTCTCCAATGCACTTCTTCTATTTATCTCTATTGTTTCCTGAACTTAAAAACATGTACACAATAGGGGGGAGAGAGAGAGAGGAGAAAAACTAGACAACAATTTAACATTATAACAGTTAAATGGAAATATAAGCTACAAGGACTAATTCTCAACAAAAGAAAACAATTATCAATCCATATTGATATCAGTAATCATAAGCAGTTGTATGCGATGGAAAACGAAAAGAAAACTGATTTAATAATTACTACCCTTGGTAGCACATTCACATTAAATCAACTTACCCCAAACTAGTTACTTTATTTATAAGACAAAAATGACATATTCAATGACAAACCATTTCTACAACAATTTCAAAATTGAAATCAAATAGTGAAGCATGATCAGACTAACCAAACTATAACTTAAGGAAAACAAATTCTTCAATAGCCACTATCTCCCCGATTTTCTGTAGTGTTTCTGTATCAGGTTCCTCATACACACCTATTGTCATGACTGCCTGTTTCTGTGGTGCTGTCCTCCCCACACTCATGAAGTTGACATTAACATTTCCCTGTCCGAGAATGCTCCCCACTTTTCCAATAATGCCAGGCTGATCGACTTGCTTGCAGAGTATGAGGCTGCCTTCTAAACTCACATCCACTCCAAATGACCCCACCATCGTCAAATGGGGTAACCCTTCTTTCACCATTCCTTGCACTTTGATCTCAGCAGACTCTGAAATTGCACCAGCAAATTTTGACTCAACATTAGCAATTTGAAGTTGGATGAATTCAAGTGGTTTCCCAGGAGAACCATCCAACACGACCCTCTCTTCTGTTATTTTCAGTCCTTTCTGTTTGGCAGTGAAGTCAGCATTTACCAAGTTCACAAAAACACTGGAAATGGGCTCAATCAGACCCTTGGTAATCATAGCACGGAGCAACCTAGTATCAAGATCATCTGGACCCCTAGCAGAAGCATACGTTATCTTCACTGATTGCACACCACTTCCACCGGCAACTAGCTGCACGGCCAGCCTGCCAAGCTTTTCTGCCAGTCCAACAAATGGAGCTAGCTCTGATAAAACCTGTGTCACATTAAAACAAGCTCTCAAACAAGCTCTTTTTTTTTTTTTTTTCTTTTATTTTCTACTTTAATAGATACAGAGAACACGTCAGGACCTACCAGCTGTCAATAAGCTAAAACTCCATAATAGGATATAATGAACGTTCTACGAATTACTGCATGACCCAAGCTGGACTTGACATGTGTGAACTATAAATTCAAATGGATGTGGCAGGTGGGACAAAATAGTTAAGAGTTGACTGATTAGCTTGTTCTAAGTATTCTGGTTGGTGCACAATATACAAGGATATCTACAAAACTGCCTTAAGTTTCATGATAACAAGCATAAAACAGATAGAAGCAATTGATTTGGGACATTCTAATGTACAAAAACTGATAATTCAGAAGGAAATTCCTGTAACTTATGAAACTTTCAAGATACATGATTAATCATGTTTCTCAATTCAGGCTAAAAAAGAAAATACTAATAACACCTGTGAAATCAGATGAAATGCCTCTTGCACACCCAAATTGCTAAACAAAAAGCAAGGATTTGGAAATACCTCAGCAGACCATGGTGCATAACTGCAGTGGCAGCAAGTTCTCCTTTCAAAGCACCTGCAACTGCTTCAGCTATTTCAATAGCCACACCTTCCTGGTTACAATCACCCATAATTGTACAATGAGATGACTTGAAAAGAGAAAACTACATAGTATGATCACCGGTTGGAATAGGAAAGACGGCATATATACCTGAGCTTCTATGGTGCTGGCACCAAGATGAGGAGTTACAATAACATTTTCATGTAGCACCAGCATACTGTCTTCAGGTGGAGGTTCTTCAGTGAATACATCAAGTGCCACCTGCAAGAAAATTAAATTTTATCAATTCTTAGTTGTCGGTTATACAAGCAAGGGAACCAAAGTTAAGCACGAGAATAACCTGTGCAACAATCCCGGAATTGAGGGCCCTCACTAGAGCTTCCTCATCAATTACACCACCACGAGCAACATTGACAATCTGAACACCTTTCTTCATTTTAGAGAAACACTCGTCATTGAGAATCTTGGACGTAGTAGGAGTGAGAGGCAAATGCAGCGAGATAAAATCTGCAGCCGATATGGCTTCATCAAAGGTCACTAACTCCACACCAATTGCACGGGCACGGTCTGCAGGGGCATATGGATCATATGCAATCACCTGCATACCGAGCCCCCTGGCACGCCGTGCAACTTCTGATCCAACCTTTCCAAAACCCATCACTAGAAGTGTTTTCCCTACTAGTGACACTCCAACATATTTGCTCCTCTGCCATTTCCCTGGACACACCCAATTATAAGTACAATAAGGTTATGAACAGAAGAATCAACCACAGTACCAGACACAATAAAACAAATTGATTGGATAAAATTTTTGAGAAGTTCCACTAACAAATCTTATAAAATATGTTCGATCCATATGTTCTACGTGTCTAATTATGCGTTCCTATATGTTTTCTGTGTCCAATTTTGTGTTCTATTTCCGCATTGCTAATATCGTTGTTATTACTAAAGATTAAGAGGGCTTTTTGTGTGTGTGTGTTTTGATTTTCAAAATTGGAGAAAAGCCCTCACATGCTTTCAATATTATTGACAAAGTAGTCCTATCCAAGTTTAAAAATTCTTGTTAAAAAAAGAAAAAAAAAAAAAAGAAGTCTAAAACTTAAGCTCACTTTTCAAACTTAATAATATAACAATGTATTAAAATATGTAAGGTAATATGTTCTTTAATCATTTACCAATCATCTTATTCACGCATCATTAAGCCTAATACCTAAGTTTACAAAGTGAATTCGTATATCAATTTTCTATTGACAAAATCTACTAGGTGTTGATATAGATATGCAAGGCATGAAATCATGAGAATTTAGTAGAATTGTGAGAAACAATGTAGTACAATAAAAATATATATAATGAAATCATGAGAATCTTTGAAATTTTATCATGAGAGAATGTCAAAGCTCAAAAGTTTTATACGAAAGCACATGACTTGCTCGACCAAATGCCTGCACCAAAAATTATAAATAAATAAATAAATCAGAACCAAAAACCCAATAAGGCACACATACCAGCTTTGACGGACGCATTGGCTTGAGCAATGTTACGAGCCATGGCAGTAAGAAGAGCAATCCCATGCTCCGCGGCGGCGATAGTATTCGCCGTCGGCGCATTGACTACAAGACAGCCGTGCTCCGTCGCCGCCGACAAGTCAACGTTGTCGATTCCGACGCCGGCGCGTCCCACAACCTTGAGTCTCCCGCCGGAGGACTCGAAGACTTGGCGGGTGACTTTGGTTCCACTCCGAACAATTAGGGCGTCGCAGAGAGAGATTTTGGTGCAGAGCTCTTCTGGGGTCATGTTATAAGAGCAATCGACGTTGGCGAAGTTGTTGAGAAGTTGAAGACCCGCCTCGCCCAGCTTCTCGGCGACGAGAATTGTGGGTTTTGTGTTCATCGCCGCCGCAGCCGAGACTACGACGACGGACTTGGGGTGTCGGCGGCGGCGAGTGGTGGTTGGGAGGAAGGAGGGGAGAGAGAGAGTCCATGATGAGACAGAAGAGGGAGATAATTTGGCCAACGTGAATGAAAAAGCAGCCATTACTCTGTGTTTCGATTTCTGAGAGAGGAATAGAAAGATTAAACTAGTAATACTTCAAGGTTTTGTCAGAGACTCCTGTTTTGTAGGAAAAACGGAAAAACGGAGTCGTGCAGTGGAACAGTGACAGTCGCTTTCGGTGAAGAAAATTGAAAAAATAATTTTGGTGAAGGAAAGCCTTGCATGGACCAGTCTGCCAGTGTGTGTGTTGGAATTCAAAGGCTGCTGACAAAATCCAAAGTAAAAAGAGAAATTCTCTACATATATTTCATTAGTAGTTCACCAAATCATGTACTCTATCTTTCCTAATTATAAGGGAATTTCATGATGAGTTATGCTACAGACGCCCAATGACGTGGTGCACTGGAATTGGCCGAAAATTAAAAAAAAAAAAAAAAAAAACACAGTTTTTTTTGGGCCAATAAGAGCCGACCCCAGCACCCTAGCTGGGGGTCTAAGGCATTTTTGTTTCAATAATGGTTCGGACCCCCACTGGGGGTCAACCTCCAGTGAGGTGGCGGGTGGTGATTGGGTCAAAAAAAAAAACTGTTTTATTTACCAGTGGGGGCACGCCACCTCACTGGGGGCGCGACCCCCACTGGGGGTCTGTAGCACCATTGATTTTTGTTTCATGATCCTGAACTGATTGTACTTAGCGTTGAAAATTTCAATTTTGTCTATAAAATGCGGATTTAATTGTATTCAGATCTCATTTGATAACATCGTTTCTAGACAATCTTTTTCATCTTTTTATCTTTTTTGGGTCACATCAATCAACATCTCCTCTCTACTTTTTCTACACATAATACAAAAAAAGTCAAAAAGTGCACTTATTTAGTCTTCCCAAACTAGGCCTAAAAATTAAAAAGTTATTATAAAAATTTAAAAAATCAATAATTTATATTAAAAAATCAAAAATTTTCTTTTTTATCTACTTTTTACATATTTTTTTATAAAAAATTAAAAAATCATCTCAAACATACTAATTTTTTATATAATATTTTAGCTAAAAAATTTTAAAAAATTACTAAAAGTGCTGTCTCGTTTGGGAACATGTTTTTTAGTAACTTTTTGATTTTTTGACTAAATTATGAGGTAAAAAAATAGTATGTTTGGGATGATGTTTTGGTTTTTTATGAAAAGATATATAAAAAGTAGAGAGAAAATAGAATCTTTAACTTTTTGGTAGAGGTTATAGGCTTTTTGATTTTTTTGGCAACTTTTTGATTTTTAGGCTAAAACAGTTGCTTGCCAAACGAGGTAGTGTGTTTGGTTTCACTTTTCTGAATTTAATTTTCTGAAAATTGTGTTTCTTATTTTTCGTATTTTTTTGTTTTTAGTGAATATTTTTAAAATTTTAAGTAATTTTTTTTATTTTTTTAAATGCACTTTATTTAGATTTGTGAAAAAATATTTTAAAAAAATAATAAATACACAAAAATACAAAAAAATATATATTGAATTTTTGTATTTTTTTTTTTGTATTTTTAAAATATTTTTTCACAAATATTATATTTTTTAAGTGTATTTATGTTAGGTTTGTCTAAAAAAATTTTTTAAAACAATTACTTAAAATATTTTAAAAAATTCATTGAAACATTAAAATAAGGAAAATAAAAAAGTAGAATTTTTTAAAAACTGTTTTCTAAAAACCAAAACTAAATAAGCTTAGTATTTGTTATAGCGATCCCGGTTGTCCCTTTACTGTTCTGTTGTATTCCGGACTCGGTTCTGTGAAGTTGGTAGTTGTATCTATCTTGTTGTCATCCTTAAATTTCATTTGTTTGAGTTATAGGATGTGTTGGGCTTGTTTCGAACAGGTGGGTTGAACCTTGGTCTGAAATCTTGTTGCCGGGTTTTTGGTCGTTCCGCTCGAGCAGGTCCTTTTGCGCTCGAGCGGATATTGCACACTCCTAGTTTTTCGTGTCCCTGCAAAACTTCTGCAGGTGTGATTTTTACGCTCGAGCGGGTTTCCTTACGCTCGAGCGGTGGCGCTCTAACGGGTACTTGAGCACTCGAGCGGGTAGTACCTTTTTGGGTGTAAGTTCTGGGAGGGGGAAATCTACGCTCGAGCGGACTGGTTTTCATGCTCGAGCGGATTTACTTTATTCTTGTGTCTTGGCGCTCGAGCGGGCCTTTTTGCGCTCGAGCGGACCTAGTTTTTGTTTTTGACGCTCGAGCGTTGTGTTTTTCGCTCGAGCGGGAATGTCATATATCAGTTGGCTGTGGGGCAGTTTTAAATCACTTTTTCTCATTCTTTCTGTCTCTTATTTTTCCGAAAAGGCCATTTGAGAGCTTCTCTCTCTAGAACCTTGCCTTCTCTCTAGGTATTGATCTAGTAGGAGTTGTTTCCTCACCGTTGGCCCTTACAAAAAAGTTGTTGATCGTCGAGGGCTATCTTTTGATCCGAGAAACTCGTGGTTTGGAGCAATTTCGTTTTCACCATCTTCTTCGTTGGGTGTCATCTTTTGAGGTAGGGCTTCCTACTCACTCTTATGGTCTTTGACCTAGATTCTCAGTTGTTTTGATAGAGTGTTGAATTTGGAAAATTTTGGGACTTAGGGTTTCAAAATGTGTTAAAAAGGATTTTGTGATTTTGGGCTCAAAATATGTATTTTGGGTTTCAAAATGATGATATAGTTGTTGGTTGTTGATATTGGGACCTTTGAGTTAATATTGGAGTTGGAGGTAAAAGCCCTGATTTGTTGTTTAAAATTAATTGGTGTAATTAATTTGGCAAAATTGTAGCTATATGGAATTGAGTTGGAAATAATGAAATTGACCCATTATATGGTTGAATAGTGGAGTTAGATTTATTAATCGCTCACTTTTGAAAACATTGATATTTTATCTGTTGGAGCTTTTATTATCTGTTTAGAAATAATTGCTTGGGCTACTGGTGGAGAGTAGTTTTGATTGTTGTAGACAATGCATGATGATTAGACAAACTAAAACTAATCAATTGGACATGCCATAGAGTATGACGGTTGATAGAATACATTAACGTTATGTATTGATTGATTGCGTATATGACCTTTGTGTATATATGTCGTGTGTGTGGGAGGAGATAGGGGATATACTCCACGGTTTAGGAGAAGATAGGGGATGGACCTCTAAACCGGATGTTGTTTGGGAGGAGATATGGGATGGACTCTACTGATACAGCTCATATGCTTGTCAGATAAAGTGTTGATACAGCTCATATACTTATCTTTGGAAGTGTTGATACAGCTCATATGCTTGTCATTAGAAGTGTTGATATAGCTAATATGTATATCTGTTAAAATGTGGATACAGCTTGTATGCTTATCTGTTGAGATGTTGATACAACTAATATGTTTATCTATTGTAAAATGGAAAGTGTTTAATATGAGTCATTGTCTCATATAAGTGGTTGGCCAGGTTCTGAGCCATTGATGTAAATTGTGAAATTGGTAAGAAATGAAAACTGAAATGAAACATGAACATAGTGGTCATGAAATGGAAATGGATTATGAATTAGTTTATGAAAATTGAACATTTATCAATTGCTAATGTCTTAGTCATTGCTTATACTGTGTTTAGCATATCTCTACTGGGCGTTGGCTCACCCTTTATGGGACATTATTTTCAAGTACAAGTAATATGCTACCTCCAAGGACATAGCTTGGATGATGATGAGAGTTGAATACTCTTTCTTTTGTTTATTTTGATGTATTACATGTAAATTCAAGCCAAGGGCTTAATATGTATTGAGTTAGTACTTTTTTTTTTTATAACCAAGTGTTAACTTAGAAAGCTGTAAGCCCATAGGGCATTTGCTTTTGTTGTTAACATGTAATATGGTTGTAAGAATTACTCTGATGAATAGAAATGGTTGATTTCTTTTGTATCAATGCATATCTAAAATGTTGGTTTAATGTTATATTTTTGAGGGCGTTACATTTATAATTATTTTTTTATGTGTAATATTAATTGGATCTTTACATGTTAGGGAAATAATAATTGACATTAATTATCTTTATTGGTATGCGGATATTGAACAAAAGTACAAATAAATTTAGTATTTTTCAACAAACTATAATTGAGAAGTTGTATTTTTTGTGCTAGGGGTTTGTGCATTCCTTTCTTGTTTCGGTGGTAGATCCATTCCTTTAGATTTAATCGATTACCTTGGAGTTAGGGTTCACAAATACTATCATATCCCCATGAAACGTCTTTTTTTTTTAATAATTGTGATATATTTTTGTTATGTGGACAAAAATACTCAGAATAGAAAATTGACAATAAAATTATTTAACTATTACAATGTAATGTTAAAAAAAATAAAAAATAAAAACTATCACACGAGAGCACTGCCAACTTTTATGATAAATGTTTTTCCAATTGTTTTTAATTTAATTGATTTTTTTATTTTATATTTTATGTACTCTATTTCATTATTTTTATAACAAGTTAACTACAATTAGAAAAAATAAATTCGTTGGAAATTATTTTTGTTCCATTGAATTTTGAAAATTTGAAAATTTATTATTTTACAAGAAAAAAAAAACACATAAAAATAAGGAAGGTGAAAAGGTTTTTAAAAAAAATAGATGAAAGGCTAAAATAGGGGGAAAGTAATAAGTGTGTTGCGGTCATATTGGGACACTTTAAAAAGTTGGTTAAAAGTTAATTTTTAGCTTTTAATCTATTTTAAGTCATACTACTTCTCATATTTTTTATCTACAAAAAGATAAAAAAAAAAGTCAAAAAATAAATTTTTAGTTAACTTTTCAAAACACTTCATTATAAAAAAATATTATTTAATTTAGATAATTTTTAATTTTTATTATTTTTTATATAAGTAAAAATAGTTGTACCTATTTAACTCATTCTTTTAACACATACTTCTAGAACACACCTTAACAAAAATAATTCTAATTAGGCCTAGTTTGGGAAGACTAAATAAGTGCACTTTTTGACTTTTTATGAAATATGAGTTGGGTTTGGATTGGGTTTGAAGTGATGTATTAGAGAAGTGATGTGACTTAAATAAGATGATGTGACTTAAATAGGATAGTGACTTTTTCACTTTTTATCTTTTTTCAACCTTCCCAAACTAGGCCTTAGTAAGCTCTCATTGGTGAGTAGGGATGGTGACAGCGTTTATCATTTCCCACCCCCGACCCTACAAACAAACTCCAACCCTGCCCCTGTCCCAATTTTGCTACGGGTGAAAATTTTCAAGTGCACCTCCATCTCCTTTGAATATTTACAGATATCATACCACATTTTAAATAGTTAAAAAAATTAAAAATTATTT